CGCTCCCTCGCAGATCCTCATGTTCTGAGCTGACTCTCTCTAACTTTTGCTCTTGTTCTGCTCTTTTTTGAGCTTGGGCTCTGGTGTTATACTTGTGCTGAGGACTCAGTATGGGAACTACCCGAAGAAGAGAGACGTAATGAGAACTTGTTTGAAAATGCATGTATGCATGTATGCATGTATGGACTCAGTATGAGAACTTGTTCAATATAAAGCGAATATCAACCATATACCGATCTCTCTAATCTATAAATCGATAGATGAATATTTTAGGTCAAGTTCCATAAAATCTATGTCTAGAGTTTTACAAAACAAGAATGGATCATTAAGAACAAAAATATTCATCATATATTAGTCATCACTTGTTCACATACAAGGCCAATCAAAAGAAATACACAAAGTTAAGGTAGACTACATCTACCTTTGATAAAAGGGAAATTAGCTACCCATAATCATGGTAACTTGCTTTACAAGTAAAGAGAAGATGAATGAGTGTCCACATTGAAGAATCAAACTCTGATGCAAATCCAGCTTCTATTTGCAAAATCTCACTTTGTGGTGAAGAAATGCTGAAAAATGAGGTTTCTATGTGAAAAATGGGTAATGATCCCCAAAAAGTGTGAAAAGTACTTATATAGTATAACTACAATTTTCCAAGTTCGCCCAACAAACTCTACTTTATGGCACTTGAGATGCCTCTGAACAGTTAAACCGCCCTTGAGGAAATATATGAACTAGCCTAGAGAACTATTATTTTACCCTCCGAGCTACTTTGCTACAAGTTCACACAACGAACTTAGGGTCCTTTAGTTACTGCCTCAAAACTAGGATGGTTCATTGGTCTTTGACTACAACCTCGCCTAGCGAACATTCGCTTCAAGTTTTCCCAGTGAACTTGTAGTCCTTTTCTTTCTGCCTCTAATTTGAGAGGGTTCGTTGAGGCTTCGCCAGTTGCTCGCCCAGCGAACATTCGATGTTGGTCCTCGCTAGTTGTTTGCCAAGCGAACATGTTAAAACTTCACATTTTCTTTGCCTTCCTTTTCAAATTATTTGTGTCTTACACTTTGATGTTTTATGTCTAAATCCTACATAATAACACACAAATCAAAGCAACCAAAGGTATATGCAACATAGTTGAAGAATAGCATGAAAACATGGGGAAAATCCAACAAATCATAACAAATGAGATGAAAAATGCCAATAAATATGGATCAAATTAAAGCTTGTTTGGTATTCAACAAGCTCCCAATTATCTTGTTACTTATCAAGCATATCAAACACTTACTATTGCAGTCAAAATAATGAAATAAGGAAGCATAAAACTAAAATGGAACATAAAATTCTCATCTAATTCATTTTTGAATCAAATTCAAGTACAAATAAACTCGACTTTCTTGGAATCAGAATAAACTATAAAGAAACTGGAAAAATAACTCCTCAAGTTTTCTTAAAATCAAACTACCAAGCAACCCTAAAGCTGACACCTTGAGCCTTCCGGACTGCCTCTGGGTCGGTAGTGAGCTCCTCCACTGTCTTCTTACAAAACTTCACACAGTTGAAGACTTCGTAATGTGTGTTCTTTAGGTCACATGATTTGATCTGCTTCCTTTATCTTTTCAGGAAGTTAAAGATTGAAAAAGTTTAAAAAACAAGCCATGTTCATGAATTTATGCGTCCACTCAGTGTACATAGCTTGAAGGTTCCTAATAGCGATGCCCCTTTCAACCACAGCAACTTCGGCCTTTCTACAACCATCCTTCCAATGATTACATGCTTTCACCAACTTTTCATAGGCTTTTCCAGACTTCGGACTCTTGACTTGCTCAATGGCTCTTTCTAGTTGAAACTTCTCATGAAGGTAGTCTTGATGTACCCTTTCTTTTTCTATCTTCTCACGTGCTAGATGGTCTTTGTAGTCTTTGAGAGTATTCCTCAAATCATGGATTTATACTATGTAGTCATCCCTAGCATCCTTCTTCATTCTGTTGGACGTTTCCACATCTTTCTCTAAGCTTCGAATGATGCACCAAGCTCGATCTAACTTTTCGTTTCGATGGTCAAGATCAGAATTGGCTCCTATAAGAGCACCTCCAACCTAAATCCTCTTGTCTTTCTCGTCTCTGGCCCTTTTATTGCTTCTTTTGAACTTTTTTTTAACTTTTTACTCTTGTCTTCCAAGGCTTCACTCTTTTGCTTGGTTCGAATGAGTTGGATTCAAAGTTGAGAATTTTCCAGTTCGAGCTCCTTGATCTTATGATTGAGCTTATTCACATCTTTCACGTAAGATTGGCTCAGGTTCGGGTATTGGAGGGAAAGTTGATGAACCAAAGAAGAAAATAAGTTTGACCACTTGAGCTTTTTCTTTCACCCATCGAACATAGAGCTCCCTAGAGATGACGTTCTTTTTCCCCATCTCTGAGCCACTTCTAACAACCTTGGTCTATACCTTCCTAACGTTTCTCACATAAGAATTAGTAGGAGCAACATCATTGATGACGAAAGGCACAAGATGTTTGTCTTTGAGAGGGTTATCCATGGTATATCCAAATTGCCTTTTGAACAACACAAGGTTATAATTGATGCAACCATGTGTTCTCACAAGATGTACATTGGGAAATCCTTCACATCTAAGTACGACATTCTTAGTCTCCCAATCCCTCTTATACCATGTGATAGAATTAGCAGTGAGTGAAGCAAATCTCTAAGGACATGAGAGTTTTCTAGAAACAAATGGACCCTTTTGAGGCATGTGTGTCTTTATCAATAGAGAAAGGTCCCACTTTTCTTTTCGTGTCTTGTGTGAAAGGCATGGTAAGAATTTGCCAATAGGAACGACACAGGATTACCATCCAAGAAAATCTCCATAGCTAAGCAATCTATGAAGTTATCAACATTCGGAAACAACACAATGCCATGAACCAAGAGCGCTACAATTTCCCCACATGCAACCCACTTTTCTTCTTTAGCACACTTCCAAGCCTGCTCTTCTAAGAAATTTCTTGCGAATCCCTTGGTAGCCCCCTTATGTTCCTAATTAGATGTTACATCATCCACATGAATACCCAAAGCAGAGGATATTTTGGGCATTGTGAGATCTTTTTCAAGCTTTGGGAAAGGATTATAATCTTTGATGGGATGATCGAAAAGTCTTTCAAACTCTTCTAGATTAAGAGCAATTTAGAAGTCTGAGAACATGAAATAGCGGAGAGGGGCGTCGTAGTATTGAGCCAAGGTAGTGAGGGCGTCAAATTTTTTTTTCTCTGTCAATACTTCTAAGATGTTCCCATAATTGGTATGGAATTGTTTGTGCTTGATAGGTATATTTTTGGAACTCAAAGCCTTCAAGTTGTCGATCTTAGGTTCTTTAAACTTGAAAGTGAAAATGATTTTTCTGGGAGGATGACTCATCTTGATTGCTTTGGAAAATGATCTTATTTGTAATAAACACAAGATACTTAGAGAATTGTTTTTAATTTTATGTATGAATGAATGCATGAGTGAATGAATGGATGAATGTAGTTTCAAAAGTAGGAGGTACGGATCGAAAATACTCTAATTACTCTCCTCACTGGGATCTCGCTAAGTAGGCTCTATGGTTTAAAAGGTAACCCAAAGTCATGAATTCATATTATTGTTCCTCACACATGACACAAGCATGTCGGTTGACAACTTCATCATATGAATATATTTTAGGCGAGATATTTGCACCGACCATCGCGAGAAAAGCTTCTCGGGGGCCTGCACTACGCGACTATCGACATTGGGTTCTAGACAAGGGTCTCAGAATCATGGACTTCCTTGACTGTTTGTTGCGTATGCCAGTCATTTGCAGGTAAAAAATCCATCAAAAAAGTTTTTTCTGAGTGAGATCTTTGTACCAACCCACGCGAGGAAAGCTCCTCGGGGACTCGCACTACATGACCATCAATCCTAGTTGGCTAAAGGTTCAAGATTCTACAAAGGTCCTTAGAGTCATGGATCCCAATGAAAACATTGATTACTTATGCCAAAAGCTTGACGGTCATCAATATCCTCAATAGAATCTACTCCAACTGAGGTTCTCGTATCGACTCTCACGAGAAAAGCTTCTTGGGAGCCCATACTACTCAACCTCTCTTATCTCAAGTTTTCACTCTAGATTCAGGAGGAGATTCTTTCCCTCAAGGTTTGTGGCAACCAGACATCCAAGTACCAATGATTCAATAGAGCCACATAACAATATAACAATAATGAAAGCATAAGGCAAATAAAAGTCACATAAATAAATAAAAACATAGTTCGAACAGAGTCGTACCTTGAAAAATATGATCCTTCACGAAATGTATCACGGAAAAATAGTTTGAACAGAGTCGCCACCGAAATTTATTTATTCCAATAAAGGAAAGTGAAAATATCAATAAAACCTTTTAAAAGAAGAAAATGGTCGTCGCAACCAAATTCTAGTTTCAGGAGTCAATTACGCAAGGGGAAGGTACTAGTATCCTTCACATCTGTTGTACTCAGCGGGAACCTCTTAGTCTAATTTGTGATTGAATGTTAACTCATGCTATTTGTTTTATACTAAATTAATAATGCAAAAGGGATCACAAAAGGGTTCTATTCTAGGTTACTTGCTAAAGGGAAATGGTTGGTTTTTTATTAGAGTGCTCATCAAGATATCACAATCTCGTGCCTATATATCCTTATGGTGCAATAAGGAAACCAGAGCTTCGTAGTTTGGGGGACGATGGGGAAGAAGGTAGAAAAAGGTAGCTCGCCAGGATATCGCAATCTGTGCCTACGTATCCTTTTAGTGCAATAAGGAGATTTGAGCTTCGTAGTTCGGGAAACAATTAATTAGGCCTATTGAGGACAATGAAATTTGGAAAGCCCTAACAAGTATAAGGAATAACAAGGCCCCAGACATGGATGGTTTTAATGCGTATTTCTTCAAGTCAGCCTAAAAGATTGTGAAAGAAGATGTCAAAGTTGCTATCATGGATTTCTTTAATGCTAGCCACATGTATAAAGCCATTAATTGCTCCTTGGTTACTTCTATCCATAAGTCCCCTGAGGCCAAAACCATAAAGGATATGAGACATATCTCTTGTTGCAGCACTATTTACAAGATCATTTTCAAAATCCTCACAACTAGGCTTGGGAAGGTGTTAAACAAACTTATTGAAGACATCCAATCTGCTTTTGTGTCTGGAAGAACCATTCATGACAATATAATGCTTGCTCAAGAATTGGTTAGAGGGTATAATAGAAAACATGTCTTCCCTAGATGTATGGTTCAGATGGAAATCCAGAAAGCCTATGATATTGTGGAATGGCAGGCTCTGGCTCAGGTTATGATAAAGTTGGGCTTCCATCAGGTGTTCAATTATTGAATCATGGAATGTGTCGCTACTGTGTCATACAAGTTTTCCATAAATGGGACTCCGTATGAGATTCTAAAAGCTAAGAGAGGTTTGCGGCAAGGAGACTCTATCTCCCCCATCTTATTTGTTATCATCATAGAATATTTGCATACACTGTTACAAGGTCTGATTTCTAACCCTGATTTTAATTTCTACCCTAAGTGTGAGAAATTAAAGAACATCAAGTTATGTTTTAAAGGTGATATTCTCATATTTATTAAAGGCGACCTTTGATCTTTGAAGCTGATAATGGAGAAATTCTAAGAGTTTTCTACTGCAACATGTTTGTTATTAGAAATCCCAAGAGCAAGCTTTACCTTGGAAAAATGGATAGTGAAACAAGGATCCTCTTACAACAAGAAACTGGTTTCAAAAGTGGTACTTTTCCTTTTAAGTACTTAGGAGTTCCTTTGGATAGTAAAAAATTGTCTGCTAATAGCTCCCAACACCTAATTGAGAAGATGACTAACAAATTGAAGCATTAGAGCACCACATTGTTGTCTTATGCAAGGAGATTCCAACTTGTTAGAAGTATGATCGTCTCTATCTATAACTACTGAATGCAGATTTTCCCGTTGCTTAAAAAGGTGATCTCTCATATTGAAGGTTTATGCAGGAAGTTTCTGTGGACAGGCAAAGAAAATGGGGGAAAGAAAGCACCAATTGGTTGGGATCGTGTCTGTGACCCCATTTCTGCAGGTGGGTGTAACATAGTATCCTTGATAACATGGAACAAAGTTATCATAGAAAAAATGTTGTGGAACATTTGAGAAAAGAAAGATAAATTGCGGATTCAATGGATCCACATTTTCTACATGAAGGATATGGATGTTAGCATGTACCAGCCAACTAACCACTACTCGTAAATCTTGAAGGCTATCTTCAAAAATATAGATTTGATGATAAATTCTGAGATTTAAAAGGGATTTCAAGAGGCTTGCATGTATAATACACAGAAGATGTATATAGTGCTTAGAGGTACTAAACCCAAGGTGGATTACAGAAAACTATTTTTCGGAAATCTTGCAAGTCCAAGAGCTATCTTTACTCTATGGATGGCTTGCCAAAACAGGCTCCTTACCAAAGATAGGATGATGAAACATGGCATGAGTACTGATGAAGTGTCTGTGTTATGCAACTTACAAGAAAGTTGCCACCATTTGTTCTTTGAATGTGAGGCTACCAAGGGTGTTTGGAAGCAGGCTATAACTTGGATTGGAGTTGATCACAATCCAGGTGGATGGAAGTCTGAGCTGGTTTGGATCACTCAACAAACTCTTGGAAAAGGGAGTAGAACTAAGCTTTTGAAGATGGCCATTGCAGAGACTGTCTATTAGATTTGGACAGTGAGGAACAAAATCATTTTCCAAGATTGTAATAAGGATGCTTTACATAGTAAACATCTTATAGAGATGATCCTAAGGAGAATTTAAATGGATAGAAATTAAGCTGCTTATTATAATAGAATGTGATTTATTTCTCTTGTAGTTTTATTGCTTAGTCTTCTAGAGGCCTGGATCTTATGATCGACTTGTGTGTATTGTGTTTTTTGGTAATAATATATTCTTTATTCCAAAAAAGAGTAAACAAACATAAGCACACACAACAAAACCTAATTAGGCTTGACTCACTTAGGGATGGGAAAGTCCCCAACAGAGTCGCCATCTGTCGTACCTCGAAAAATGAGAACGACCTCGCAAGTGCAAATCACACACTCACAGAATGGACTTAACAGAGTCGCCACTGATCTTTATTTATTCCCATAAAGGAAAAGGGAAAATATCGAATAAAACCCCTAAAATAATGACAAGGATATGGTCACCGCAACCAATATCAGGGTTTGGGAGTCAGTTACGCAAGGGAAAGGTATTAACACCACTCACGTCCGTTGTACTCAACAGGAACCGTTATGTTAGTTGTGTGTGTTAGTGTTTGCTTGGAAGTAAGGCATCTCGAGTTATTAAGGGAAAGAAATAGGACAAAGAGTTTGTTTTTTTAATTAGGGAAAAGAAGAAAGGAGCCTAAAAAAGTTTTTATTACTAGGGGGCCTGCCAAGATTTCACAGTCTTGCTCCCACGTAACTCAAAAGAGAAATCAAGGAGCACGTAGTTCTGGGTAAAAAAGGTTTATTTGTTGGTCGATTTTAGCGAAAGATATCTTGTATTAATCGACGTAAAACATTTTTTTTACCCAAACCAAGTGAGAAGCGGACGTTTACACCACTTTGAATGGATTTACAAATCACATTCACGCCACTTATCTCAACTCAACGATTGTGGATGAAGCTTTGCTCTGCAACATATTAAGACAAAATGTCTTTCGTTTTTGAAAAGGTTTTAGGGTTGTGCCAAAAGGAAAAACGGTTTGAATGAGTTTGATGTATTTTAGATTGACGCAAAGATCATTTTTTATTCGAATTGCACTAAAGACTAATGGTAGAGGTGAATATTTAAAACTACCAAGTCAAGTGTCTTGTGTCCAAAATACTCAGAGTGTGGGTAGGAAAGTTTCATTCTCACTCATTCTTCACCACTTAAGGCTCGTGGCGCGCAATCCTAATCGTATTTTTAGAGTATTTTGAATTTGATTTAGAAAATGACTTTACGTTGGATCAAGCTTTTATTCATGATTATAAAAAGTGTTTGAAATGATTGGAAGTTTTGACAATGGTTTGAATGGGAGGTGGAAAATGTTGATGGTTTTGAAAAAAGTTTAATAATGGAATGTGGTGGAATGGTGACCAATTGGTGTTGACCAATGTTTTTGAAAGTGAAACTTGGTGTAGACCAGGTTCTTTGATTTTTTTTGAAAGATTGATTTTAAATTTTTATTTTTGTTTTTTTTATCTAATTAGTTAATTATCATATTTAAATAAGAACAACACAAACAAACAGATAACACAATTACAAACAAGGGGTGAGGATACATTTTGACAATTAGGGGACTATAATGAAATGTGATAAAACTAGCTAAATAACAATATTAAACAAGTTAAATAACAAAATAATAAATAAAAGCAAAAATAACAATAAATAAGTTGTAAAAATAAATTAGATAATAGAAACACATTATAAATTTAGAATATTAAAAGAAATTTTTTTAGATTTTTAAAAATTAATATTACTATATTTTTTAGATTTTTTTTTATATTTATTTATTTAAAAAAAAAAGAAAATTTTATATCTAAATGAACCTACTAAAATAAATATATTTATTTAATTAATTAATTTTTCAAACATAAAGTTAAAGTCTACGACTTATATATAAAAGATCAAAATGAAAATGAATAGTCCTAAGAAATTCTTATTATTTTTACTATTTATATATATATATATATTTTTTATTTAAAAAAAACGTAACAAAACAAAACAAGAAAATCCTAATTAGTAAATAAAAAAAATAAAAAAAGCTAATGGTCCAGGGGGTTTAAAATCAACCCAGGGTGTTGCAAGCCCATATGGGGCGCTGGTTGGGCGGGGGAGCGGGTCGGGTCACCCCTTAACCCGGTTCGGCCCATACTTGGAGGAAAAAAAATTTTAAAAAAAAACCCTAAAAAAACAAGAAGGAAGCAACCATTATGTTCTATAAAGACGTGATCTTCAACTCCTCCTAGTGAAAACAGAAAAAAGCATAAACGGAGAAAAAAATCTCACCAGTTTCACGTTCTCAACATTGCTCTTTTTGAATCGCTCTCTTCTCTCTCGCCCTTACTCTCTGCAAACCTTCTGACCACCTAGACAGTGGAACCATGAAAAAAATCTCACAGATCGAAATCGAAACAGAAGAATTTGAACCTTCTGCTCTTTCCACAAAATCGAAACTACACACCCTAAAAAATGGATTTGAGTTTCCGTTTCAAATACTCCTTCACTCAGTTTTGAATACATTCTCACTCGGTGCTAAGTCTCTAACTATATCTCTCGAAGTTGAAGGAACAACTTTTAAACAAGTGACTATCACACGAAAAAACGAGTTTTATTTTCACGAATCAAAACATGAAAGCATCGTCACAGCCATAAAATGTTTGAAATCTCACCATTGAAATCCCTCACGTATAGAGGATGCTGAACAAGTAGAGCAGTTAATGACAACATGTTGATCATATAAAAACAAACATCACAAACAGGCAAGTGAAAGTATGATTCAAAGAATATAAAAACACAAACATATGGAAAGCATGATTCAAAGAAAAACAATAACAACCGAGCTATGAAGTTTTTACCCAGAAGAAAATTTGTGATAAGTATTCTACAGGTATGACGATCTTGATATTCTACCCTTCTTCTACTGATATGAGTGCTTTTATCTTCTTTGTGGTTATGGCTCTAAACTATGAGATATTTGACACTGTTAAGGATGACGCTGTTATTATTTTTTGTTATGGTTCTTTAGGATTGATTAAGGGTATGATGGTTGTTGTGATGAGTATGAGGGTGGCTTTTTTTTACTATGGCTAGGATTTCTTGGTCTTTGAGACTGCTAAGACTTTGTGTGCAATGTATGTTGCGACTAGGTTTGTTGATGATGGCTCCCTCTTTTCTCTTTCAATTGCTCTGATTTATAGTAGAGAGATTAGGTTTTTTTGATGTTGTATTGCTGTCCAGTTTTGCTAAAGCCTTACTCATGCTTTCAAGATGCCAAAATGTTTTTTTTTCAAAATGGTGAAACTCTTTTGTACTTGCTATTTTTTTTAAAACTTTTTCTTTGTCTTTGTAATGTGAAATGATAGTTGTAATACCCCAAATTTTGCCCTAAGATTTGTCGTTTCATCTTGCATTCCATTGCATTTTTGCATTGTATTTAACCAGTTACTAACAAGTTCGTGTAGTTGGTTGATTTTCATAGGAAAATATCATGTGGCGCGCCCTTTGGTTCGTGAAGGGTAAAATGGTCATTTGCTTGCAACCGGCTGTCAGTTTACGGATTTGGAGCTGTAGTCAGGAGATTTGGATTGTTGGATATGGTTGATATGAGTCAGAGTCGAGGTTAATCAGATAAGTTTGTTCATGTGAATGGTCGGAGAGATTAGTCGGAAGTTCGCATCGGAAACGGGATTAGTCGGATAATTTGGATCGAGAAGGGAATTTTAGTGTTTTATTTTTCATTTCATTTTAAATCAAAAAAGAAAAAAAATATTTTCATTTCAATTTTGTAATTATTATTATTTCATTTTTAATTAATTTCATTATTAAATCAAAGCTTATTTCTCTTTTAGATTCATTTCATTTTTAAAATCATATTTCATTTTAAATTAATTTCCTCACTAAGTCAATCATTTATTTCATTTAAAAAAAACAATCAATTTCGTTTCTATTTTCATTTTTAGTTTTTATTCTCATTTCATTATTAAATAAGTTTTATTTTATTGTGCTCATTTCATTTTCTAATTGAGTTTATTATTTTTATTTTATTTGTAAAATAAAAACATGCATTTTTAATAATGATTTTTCATTTCATTTTATAAAAAGGAAAATAATAATAAAAATATTTCATTTTTTCATTTATAATTAAAATCAATTTACATTTTTCATTGTTACATAAAAAAGGTAAAATTACAAAAAATACAAAATTGCATAAAAAATTTAAATTCCTAATATTCCTAAGTCTCTTCCGATTAATGCTCCGACTCTTCCCGACTTTTCCGATTAATGCTCCGAATTTGCAAAATAATCAAAACAGGTAAAATTTAAATCGGTTAGTTTGATCGTCCCGACACCCTCAGAACAATGTCATCATCGGGCGCGTCGGGAGGGTAACTGATTGCTCTGAAACCGACTCCCGACTCCTTTCCGACCTCGGTAAATCCGGTAATAATATATTCTTATTTGAGGCAACCGAGAAAGAGAGAGGAAAAGTGATTTTTAAATAAGCACTTCTGAAAAGCACTTATTTGAAAAAAGCACTTTTGGGAAAAGCGCTTATTGCATAAAAGTGATTTTAGCCGAAATCATGATTTCCTAAAGTAATCGTAAGGCCCACGGATCCAAGCCAACAGATTCCTGGAATAGCTCAACCCAGTCAAACAAACAAATCCAACACAAACAGTCAGTTGGAAGATCCGAAGAGCATCACCACAAAATCACAAAAAACTCAACAGCGACAATCAAGCAAGCTCCTTCGAAGTCTCCTTCAAAGTCGCAACCTTAAGATTCGCGGATCCAGCCCACAATCACAAATCACCATATATAAATCATCAAGCAAATTATCAGGAAAGGGGGAGATCAATCCGAAGAACCCTAAGCATAATAACAGTGGCGGCACAACCAAAACGGAAGCATCATCACTAGTTATCAAAAAACGACGGTTGTTCTCACGATTTAGCAAAAGAGGAAGGGTT